CCTGCTCCCTACTAATCATGTTGAGGGAGTTTGGGATTCAATTTGTGGAGCGTGACATTGTATATATGAACTTTGTGCTGATTTTTTCTGTTTCCAGGCAATAGTGAGAGGCGTTGGTAAACATATGCCATTAAACACCTATTAGTAATAAAATGCCACAGTTTCTTTTTTTAAAAAAAATTATCTCTTTAATATGCTTTTATAATTATGAATTTATTTTTTTATTTTAAATTATACAATATGAAGTTAAACAATTAATAAAAATGAAAGTTCTGCCTTTGATGTAGTGGTTTATTAAGGTAATGCACTAACTTTGTTTATTCAATTGAGTACACATATATATATATATATTTCAAATCACTCTTCATTATAATTTAAAATTTAAATCTAAAATATCTAACTTAAAATTTTATATTCTTAACCAATTGAAATACACTTTGCTCATATTCAATCAATTTATATTATGTGACCTGATAAACAGCTTAGCTTTCCAACTAGGCTCTTTTTTTTTTTTTTTTAACAAGAGAAAATAATTAAATTAAATGTTAAATTTTGAAATTTGATGCATTTCATCTACTGTCCAATAAATAGTAACCACCACTTGGACTAGGTGGGTAATTGCTTCCAACTAGGCTTTATAGTTATAAATTTGAGGTACTCATAAGATTTTATTACATTAGTGCCCAACTGCCCACTGGGTGGTGTGGGCTTTATTTATTATATGCTTGTGGAAGATCAGGGCCCAGGCTCATTAACATGGGCATATTGGGCGTTGGATGGGCCACGACTTCCCGTAATTATAGTGTTACCAAAACCCAAAAAAGAGCATACACTTTGTTTTAGGTTAAATGTTGATTTTGGTCCTACAGTTTAAACCTTACGCTTTTTTGGTCTTTGCAATTTTTTTTTTTTGAAGTGAAGTTAAGGTCTTTACAATAATTTGATCTTTGAACTAATCATAAAAATCTATATTAAGGGGAAAAAAATACTTAAATTAGTTTAGGGTAAAAAAAAGGTTCAAAGCTTAAATTGCAAGAACTACAATTAGCATTTAACCCTTTCTTTCACAAAGCCCCAAAAAATTTTGAATGTTCTTAAAAAGAAAAAACAAAAGAGGAGAAAAACAAAATTGGAAAAATTGCAAGTCTAATTATGAGCTTCGACTACCCAAAAAAATTCAAATGCATTGCATCATCACTATGAATGCATGTGACTATAATTAAAAAGAAAAAAAATCGACATATATTTATTCATTTGAAATTATATAACCATTGTAAATAAATTTGTGGACTAAGCAATCAAAGAGCAAATTAAGAAATGTGAACATTAAAATTGTCAAAAGAAATATTTTATTACCATCAAATGGGTATGAACTTGAATTCTTTTACAACATGATTAAATGGAATACACAAATAATTTATTATTTCAATTCATTGAATCAATGGAAGTGAAATGCCAAACTTTTACAGATTGAATAAATAGTATATGAAAGAACCATATATCAACTGAGGAATTTCATTAACTATTGTCATGCAGTGGTCAATTAAGTACGAAGTCTAACATTGTGGTAGATCTGCCGGTGGTGGAGGCAAGGTCGTCGACGGCGTTGGCCCATTCTCCACCACGAAAGCGGTGGCCAGTCCCACAGGAAGGTGCACGTCTAGGTGACAGTGCGTGATCCATGCCCCTGTACAATTGAGATTAGCATTAACCAAAGTTTTAATTTCAATTTCCGTGTAATAGAGAAGGAAAAAGAAAACTATCACTATCACGAGCACATTTAATTAATAAAAAAGTAAACTATCATATAGTCTATTATGTACAAAAAAGCAACAGCGCCTACGATTTTGAACTCAAAGGGAAAGGGGTGAACCATATTTCAAAAAAAAAAAAAAAAGAAAAAGGAAAGGGGTAAACCAAACTCCCAACGGATGACTTATTTACGTGTCCAAGTATAATTTGTTAAGTACCAACGACCCAACCTGAGAAAATTCAAAGTAAAAGAAAGTTAATTTACCTGGATTATTTGCTGTAAATCTGATGACGGCCCATCCTCCGACCGGCACGGCGATGGTGTTCCTTATCTGTGGGTTGACGAGATTGAACAACTTCTGATGTTTGGAAGGGTCATAGTTTCCGAACCCTTGAGCCAGCACGTGGAAGTTAAAGCCGTGGATGTGCATGGGATGGTTCTCAACGCCGATAAGGGAGGTGTCCTGGAAGACCAACTCCACCGTGGTATTGTACTGGAGCCTCGTGACCTTGGTTGATTTTGGCGCGAACAACAAGGAAGTGTCGAAGCTGAGGTTGGAGTTTGTGTAGTCAAACTTGAGCGGCGGTCGGCTCGGGAAATCGGTGGTGTAAATGCCGGGGACATTGAAAAAGAACGCTTGAAGGACAGACAGGGTGGTGGGGAGCTCGAAGGAGGCATTGTTCATGCTTGCTGAGAATTTAGTGTTGTTGATGGCAGTCCCGCTGATGGAGAATTGACATGTGGTGTTTTCTGGGCAGGCTTCCAAGGCCAATCCAACGGTTACGAACATACGTTTGTCCACCTTGGTTGGGACTGGGACCCAATGAGGCGCACCTACCAATCCAGTTATGTTAGTGTAGAACTTGTGGGCCGTGGGGGTGTCGTTGGAGGCGGGGAGGGCCGGCATTTGGGGGGTCGCGGTGGAAGCGGCGCCGTCGTAGACAATTATGCCCCTCGTCGTGGTGTTGTCGATCTGCACCCCGGCTGCACTAGCGTATGGTGTAGCTGCCATGTAGTAAGATCCCACCGGCTGGTCGGCCCATAACAAAACGTCGACAGTCTGGCCAGGGGCTATCACAACCACGTCGGTGACGTAGGGATTGGTGTAACTGGCGTCGACGGCAACAACTGTCATATTGTGATTGGCTATCTTGAAAAAGTGTTGATTATTGAGCGCAGCGTTGATTATGCGTAGGAGATAGACATTTCCTTGCTTCACATTAAGCGTGTATGTCTCTGAAAAATGTAAAAACCATATTTTAATAAAATTAATTTTAATTGACAATAATCAAAGCTTAAATAGTTAAATTAAATTTTTGTTTGGCTTAACAGGTGTCCCCATAACATTTTACATGTAATTTGAATTCAAACACAAAATTAAGGAACTCGTGTGGAATTATCTCTTCAAATAATAAAATTTTAGTCAACAAAATATACAATAAACCTTTTACAAATAAAGCTACCATTGTTTGCATTTTAAATTTAAAGCATTAGAGTGGGTATTCAGATTAAATTTTTAAATATAATTGATAATTAATGGTTAATTAATATTTAATGATTGATAATTATTATTGTTTAAAAAAATTTAATTCACTCTATTAGAATTAACCGTTGATAATTATTAATCAAACTCCAAACCAAATACCCTCTAAATCTTTAATTTACTGTATCACTTACGACTCTGAGAGCAGTTGTATAAATCTCCGGGCAATCCGTTTATCGTGTAAGCATCGGAATTGTTTGGGGCAGCGCCGGTGGCAAGAGCTTCGTTCTCAACGTCGATGACGTTAGCGTCCCACCACTCACCTATTAGAGGATACACACATTAGAAATTTACATTTTAATTCTTTTTCATTAAATTAAGCAAATTATTTTGGTAATTAAAAGGTTAATAATTACCCAATACGATGGGGACTTCCTTGTAAGGTTTGGGGAAGGGGTAGGATTGACCCTTTTTGGGGCGGATGATGAGTGCACCATAGACGGTGGCACGTAGCCACGAGGAGTGAGCATGCCACCAGAGGGTTCCTTCTTGATCGATGATTTGGAATTTGTATGTGTACTGATTTCCAGGGAGTATTGGACATTGTGTTATCATGCTTGGTCCATCTGCCCATGCGCTCAGTTTCTGAAATATACCGTGCCTGAATAAGCAATATTTGACCCCTTAATTAACATAAGCAAGAAAAGAGCACCTCAACAGAACTGAAAATTTTAAATAGAATAGTTATAATTATTTGTTATCTATCATATCTCAAGTAGTAGTTGGATCGAGTTAGTTAAATTATTTGTTTTTGAAGTTAAATATGACTATAGACTTCAATATTGACAAATTAAATATAAATTAGGGGAAGGTTGAGAATATTAGTAAATGTGTTGAATTAAAATGCATACTAATTATTATCTCATAACTAATTATATATGAATTATTTGAAAAAATCATCGAGGAAGAAAATGGCTACTTCTTTGTTGTCAAAGTCAATTTTTTGTTTTTATGTACTAGATAAGTTCTTAAAATAATTAAGGACTTACCAATGAATGGTGAGGTTGTAGGGTGAGTTGTTAATGACATGAACAATAACAGTGTCACCTTCATGAACATGGAGGGTTGGACCGGGTAGCTTGTTATTTACCGCGGTAATCACCCGCTGATTGCACAGCCGCGTTACCGTCAGGTTTTGCACCTAAAAGAGATCAAATTGATTAAGAATTAGATCAAAGAAATGAGAGAACTACAATTAATTGTAATTAAGGGACTCTAATTCAAGCAAAGACGTGCATATTCTAGGTATCATATATAGTATTTCCTTGCTAGGAAAGCAGTCAACCTACTATATAGTCTATAGGATTAAATTGCTAAATAAGTAAAAATAGTAAGGTATAAGAGAACTGGTAGAATTTCTATTGTAAAACCCATGGTTTTGAATATGCATGATGCATCAATGAAATAAAAGTGAAAATAAATAGGAAATGGGGGAGTATGATTACAGTAAAGGTGTGTTCCACGACTGCAGCAGAAGCAAATGATGAAGCCAGAAGAACAAACGCGCATATATGCAAGAACCCAGGGCATGCCATTTTTCGGGAGCTCGACTAGAGGAGATGAGGAAAGAAATTTTGAGAGCAGATGAGATTGTTCTTTTGCGTGTGGGGAATGAGATATGCATAGGAACATGGATGGCACCTGCTATTTATAGAATTTTAGAAAGGGCCGGTCTGGTCTTGGTGTTCTTCTAGGAAAGTTGGTAGTTTACTTTGCGGGTTATAACTTTTACAAAAGAAGGTTCTTTCATTTCCTTCTATGATATACATGTCAACGGAAGGTTCTATATTATTATATATTGATAGGGGGTAAAAGGGGCGTCAGGGATTAATGGCACACGGTTTCAAGGAATGAATTTAACGCCCTTAAGATTAATGTTCGTGATGAAATTAAGGTCCTCACAAACTGATGATTTCAAAATTTCATATTATAGGGATGTTTGAATTGATTATTTTAGGGATGTTTGAATTGACTATTTTAACATAGTTGATAATTAATAATCAATATTTAGTTGTTGTTATTTATAATTTATAATATTCAAATTGTTTGATTAATAACAATAATTGATAGTTGATCTCTAACTTTTAAAACAAAAGCTCCTATTTCAGAAAAAATTAACACAATTGTGTAAATAACGTGACGTTGTTAAAAACTTTGATAAAGATTTCCTAACGAATTTTGGAAGTCACCGCACACCAGAACTCTTATCAGTATCTTAGCAGTTTAAGTTTGGTCATCGAAATTTGGCATAAAGAAAAAGCCAAAAAAAGACGTAGAATATTGGTTGTTCAAGCAAACAAAAGCACAGATACCCCTTTTGAAAATTTTCGAGTGTAATATATGTCAATGATCGCCAACTACCCCTCCGTCCAAATGAATTATATGCTCCTTTTTCCACCAATGTATATATATCTTTTTCAAATTTAATTTGGATGACGTTGTGTGTATGGAATAATATTAAGGTCGCTTCAAATTTCAATTGCTGTTCTCTCAAGAAAGCTAGCTAGCTGCATTCCCCTGTTATGACCCAGTTGTGGTCCAATGGTGCCATTGCAGTCCAAAAAGGATTGCCGATAGAATGCACCCTGATCAATGGTCGAATCTTGTCAAAAAGTAAAGTAATAACTTCTAACTTCTAATTTTTAATTTTTAACTCCTAACCATTGACTTTGTTAAAAAAATAAAAAACTAGCTAGCTAATTAATGTGCTCTTTTTTTAGGGTTTGAAATAAGGGAAAACCTAGCTAGGAAATTTTCAATATCTAGGTTCTGGTCTAAGAGTTGGTCAAGACCAGACTGCGTTGGTAACGGGATTAACTTAAAATGTGAAAGGAAGATGTAAGAAAAGTAATTACTAATTACCTATACAAATTACTGATTACCTATACAAATTACTAATTAATGTCCATCAAGCAATCGCTATGCATTAATGGTTGGTCAATGTAATGTCCAAAAATCAAAATGACATCTTCACAATAAAAAGAAATTAAAATGTAATGTCCTTTACCAAAGTAAGAAAAGAAAACAATTTTATAGTTTGGTCTATATTGAAATGTAAAATTATGACCACATTCTGAAGATCTTGCTTCTCATCAATGATAATTAAATCATTAGCCGTAGAGTTCCTTTTCGAATATAAGAAATCAAGTTTGTATTTTTTGTGATTCGGGATTCATCAATATTACGTTATGTACATCCTTATAATATATATATATATATATATATATATAAAATTATGCTGGATAACTAAACTATGGCCATTGGCTTAATTGTTGGTCTAATTTTTATATTCTCATTTGCTTAATAAAGGGTCCATTTATTTAATCAAAACACTTTATTAAGTCTCCAAACTTATTTTAGATTTTTTATTAAACCTCTGAATTTTTGTTGAAGTAAAAAAATATATGAACTTGGTAATTTGTACAATTTAATCATTTTCCTTACAGTAGACTTAATACCCGTTTATATTTTACTTGTATAAACAAAGTCAATACTTATTACGTAAGCAATAATACATCCATATTTTATTCACTTAAGTGAGGTACAAATTGGAATTAACTTTGCTATATAGAAAGAGGGTTAACTTGCTTAGATTATCAAGTTTAGAGACTTTTTATTAAGTTTAGAGACTTATTTGTTTTAATAAAAGTTTAGGAATTTAATAAAAAATAAAGAATAAGTTTGAGAGCTAAACGTAGGGTTTTGTCGTTATTTTACCCCAAGAATCAATCTTTGTGTACATACCCTTGATGGCGGTAGTTAAGGATCCATATATGTCTTGGATGATTTATAATTAAATTTAGACAATGCTGCCATTTTCTTGATGATTCAAATCTAGTATAGTGTTTAAATCCACCCTTAAAGTTAGGTAGTAGGAATAGATTTACTTTCGAACAAAAAATTGGGATAAATTTATTCAAAAAATTTTTTATTTAGATAAATCACCATAAATTTAACATATGATGTCAAATAACATTCATAATTTGTTAATTTATTACATTATTAATAAATTTATTGTTAATGAATTGCTAACATTATCTCATATTATATGTTAAATTTAGAGTGATTTATTTAGAGCAAAATTTTTATAGATAAATTTGTTCCTGTTTTTTATTCAAAAATTAATCCATCCTTAGTGTATAACCTTGAAGGTGGATTTCGGCATTCTATCTTTAAGTCCTTGCTTTTTCATAACTATTCAGTGATTAATTAATTTTGTGCAATTTTCATGACGCTTGATTGCATAATCGTGCAAGCTTCTATGATTAGATTTTTTAGCAA